TTACTATATATATATATATATATATATATATATATATATATATGTGGGTGAAGGTTGGGGGTAAAGCTTGGCATGTGAAAACCTTTTCTGAATCATTTGAAGCGAAAATGTGAATAAGTAGTTCGTTGATTCTCTTAAAAAGTCAAAAGTAAGTTTGATTAAGTAAACCGCCATGCTGTAAAAGCTTGGTTATATTGGAATTATTATTGGTGCCCTGCTTCCTTAGCTCTTTGTTGGCCAAAGTTTCCATCATGATTTGATTGTAGTGGGGTTGTATTTTGGGTTTATGCATCATCTTTTTGGGAAGTTTCTAGAAATCTCCATTTCTGTGAATCTTTTCTTTGTTGGGTCACTAAATGTGAGGGCTTATTTCAGGAAGATCACTATATGTGAAGGATTATTTCAATTTATGTATATTGTGCAACAGGCAGGAGATTTTTTACCCTCAATTCATAACGATGAAACCAAGGTCAAGACCTAAAACAGATAATAAAAAATATTTGTTATTATCCTTCAAAGAAAATTGTTATGGTGACTTAAACAGATCGTCACTTCAAAAAAAACTTTTATTTGTTATGCGGGTGAGTGACTGCAATAGACTAAATTTAAAGGACCTCTCTTCATTTCAACCATTGTATAACATGTTTCCTCTTTTAGAGATGATGATGTTAAGAAAATCTCAAGGCTGTTTTTGTATCAGTGTCATTTCAGGGTACCTTAGGGCTATTTGTCCTCGTGTTCTAGACTGTCCTAGATTTGTTGGATCCTTGCTTTCTAATCACAGAGAAGTTATCAACTTGGTTCTATATGTGATGCTGTTGTTGAATTGCTTTTCCCTACAATAACAAAGCTACTCTGGTTTGTTTAACATTGTGGCGGACATTGCTCCCATTGGCACAACATTAGCAACCTATTAATGATCATAGATACAACATAAATTTTTTTGATAATGTTAACATTGTATTAATGGTAAAGAGAGTACAAAGAAACAAAAGCCCCAAGCGGGTACAAAAGTCACCGAGAAGGGTGGCACAACCGAAAAGAAAAGCCCAAACCGAAAGAAACGAAGAGAAGAGAAAAAAACCAAGCAAAAGAACTGAGAAGGGAACCCAAAAAATCGCAACAAACGGCACCCTCCCAAAGACATTGTTACTCCATCGTAGCTCCAAACCTAGCGAGTTTGTCAGTTGTGTGGTTGGCCTCCCTCCAAATATGTGTCCAAGAGATCTGTGTACGCCTGCAAAGAGTGTAAATTTGGTAAAAAATGTGCCACAGTCTCTGAGGTGGGTGGGCTAAGTTGGAAGCCCAAGACGGAAAAGGGACAAAAAGAGCGAGGCTAAAGTGGAATTTCCCACCCACAAGTCTGACCAGAAATGCACTCTGGATCCAATCCTAGGGTGAAATCTAATAAAAGATTTGGAAATAGGGAGAGAATGAAGTATAGAGCGCATGAAGCCAGAGACAGCCTGAGGTGTCCTATCCAAAATACACCACAGAGAGGAAGAGAGGCGGTATTTTGAGCAAAGGATTAGGTACCAGAGGCACCCTGGTTGGGTGGCAAGTCCCCACCACCATTTGCAAAGAAGGGCCAGATTTTGAAACGTAAGGCTGCAAATTCCCAGCCCACCTGCATATTTGGGGGAGCAGACGAATTGCGAGGAAAGGAGGTGGAATTTCTTTGAGGAACGGTCGCCCAACCATAGAAAGTTCTGCATAAGCTGCTCCAGACGAGTGCGCATCGAGGCAAGCAGGTGGAACAGAGACATTTGGAAAATGGGAACCCACGCGAGGACGGATTTGATATGGGTGAGTCTCCCTGCAGGGGAGAGAGACCTCCCTTTCCAAGATGCCAACTTCTTTTCGACCTTGTCAACAACATGGCTCCATTGAGATTTCTTAGGTTTGCCATAACAAAGATGTAGGTCGAGATAGTTCGCAGGTAAGGAGTCGATGCCACAACCCCAGCTATCAGCGACGGTTTGCAGAGCTGGAACCAAAATGCCTATCATTTTGGATTTCTCGAGGTTTACCTTGAACCCTGTGGCATAGTGAAAGCATTGGAAGAAGAGAAGGCGCATATCGACTTGGGATGGACTAGCCTTGCATAAAAGGAGGGTGTCATCGGCTTATTGTAGGTGTGTGATGGCTGGGCCCTGGGAACTGATGCGGAAGCCCGTAGCTAATCCAGCGTGGTAGAATCTGTCCGTAGCTTTGCTAAAGACATCAGCTACGATTGCAAAGAGGAAAGGGGACAGGGGGTCCCCTTGTTTGAGTCCTCTATGGGATTTGAAGAAGCCCTGGGGAGATCCATTAATGATGATAGAGAAGAAGGGGCTACAGATGCATCCCCGATACCATTTCCACCATCCTCTGTTGAAGCCCATCTTTCTTTTGGTTTCTTCTAATAGTGCCCAGTCAACGTGGTCGTAGGCATTTTTCTAGTCTAGTTTGATAATTAGGCCTGGAGATTTGGCAGCCATCTTGGAGTGTATGCATTCGTGTGCAACCAGAGCACCATCCAGGATCTGACGATCTTGGACAAAGGCGCTTTGATTGGGGGAGATGACTGAGCTGAGCACTGCTTTAAGTTAGATACAACATAACTTTAAAAGTTTAAAAAGGCTCATCTGCTGTTTGATAGATTTAACCATCTCCATAAGTAGTGCATTTGCTGGAATTTGCATTTTACTTGTATGAGACACACCTTACATGATGACCTTAAATTTGTTCTTAATGTGACATATGATAATGGTACTTAGAGAGGTGGTCTCACCCCATGGTTGTACCACCACATATGGGTATACAAGCTTATACAACATGTATTGCGTAGTAACAATACAAGCAAGTACAGACATAGGGATAGATGTCCTGCTTTGAGTTTGTTTTTCTTCATCAGTTTCAGCTTTAGAGACTTTGTCAGACTACTAACTCTCACGGGTAGTTCATTGAGGTTATGGCTAGAGTTGGACATGCTGTCAGATTGTTCTATTTGAGATGTGTGGATCCTTCAAATTGTTTTTGTTTATAAATAAGCTCCTTTTTGAAGTAACTATCCTCTTAAGCAGTGGTAGTATTACTCACTCATCACTATGTACCGTAATTGCAGGTGACACTCTCGGGATCTGTGAGTAGTCAGTACCTGACTGCTCTTCTCATGGCAGCTCCTTTGGCTCTTGGAGATGTGGAAATTGTGATGGCTGATAAACTCGTATCAGTCCCATATGTTGACATGACATTGAAATTGATGGAACGATTTGGAGTGACAGTGGAGCACAGTGGTAGCTGGGACCGCTTTTTAATCAGAGGCGGGCAATTGTACAAGTATGATATTATTATTATTATTGCTGTTGTTAATCTTTTTAACACATTTGAGCCAATGGTCATGGTACAATTCCAGCATTTCTTTCAAGCAAAAAAAACAAAAAACAAAAATTGGATAGCAACCTAGAAGTTTAGACTCGCTGAAACTGTTTGAGTGATTTCCGAACTTAATCACACTTATGGCATCAAATAATGGTCCAGGTCCCCAGGAAATGCTTATGTTGAAGGGGATGCCTCAAGTGCTAGCTATTTTCTAGCAGGTGCAGCAGTCACTGGTGGCACTGTCACTGTGGAAGGCTGTGGTACAAGCAGTTTACAGGTAGAGAGGGAATTTATACGAGTCCTTTTTAAGGTTATCAAATGTCTTTTATAGCCATGGAAATTCACTGTGGTTCTCTGAACTTTAATCTGGTTCGTGGGCATAATCATGTTTCCTTGTCTTTTTCCTTTCTTGTAATGCAGGGAGATGTGAGATTTGCAGAGGTTCTTGAGAAAATGGGGGCCAAGGTTAGCTGGACAGAAAATACAGTCACTGTCACAGGTCCACCAATGGATCCTTCCAAGAAGAAAAGATTGCGTGGGATTGATGTGAACATGAACAAGATGCCTGATGTTGCCATGACTCTGGCTGTTGTTGCTCTTTATGCTGATGGCCCAACTGCAATAAGAGATGGTAAGTTTTGGGGCTTTCATGTAAGATTGTTAAAGTTCAAAAATGGTCGTATCTAGAATTCAATCTGATGAGAATCTGCCGCTGCATTGTTGTAGTTGGAACGTGGAGAGTGAAGGAGACAGAGCGAATGATTGCCATTTGCACTGAACTGAGGAAGGTTCGGATTCTTGTTTTCTTTCATGTTATGGTGTGGACATGCCTCTTAATCCTTTGCAAAAAATGAATCTGAGTTATGGTTGGGATTTCTTTCCTCTTTGTTTCAGTTGGGAGCAACAGTAGAGGAAGGTTCAGATTACTGCATAATCACTCCCCCGGAGAGGCTGAACGTGACTGCGATAGACACATACGATGATCATAGGATGGCAATGGCATTTTCTCTGGCTGCCTGCGCAGATGTACCCGTAACCATTAGGGATCCTGGTTGCACTCGCAAAACCTTTCCTGATTACTTTGAAGTTTTGCAGAGGTTTGTAAAGCGTTAAATTTTTAACTGGGTGGATTTAATGGATCAAGCAGTTCATGTTGAGGTGGTGGTCTGTGTTAGGCTGATTCGCCCATATATTTTCTTTCCTATTTAATGTGTAAGACAACTCAATACCTCCTTGTGGAGAAGATATTCTGCATATACGGCCAGAATGGCTTGTTAGTGGATAAGTTTGGAATGGAGAAGTAATTAGTTTTCATTTCCTAATGGGAAAATTTCACAGTGAATCTGAGTGCACCATGACCTGTATCTCTTCTTACTAGGTGACTGTTTTCTCCTCCAACATATGTTAGCAAGTGAAACTTCTTACATATGCGGCTTGCAGGGTTAGCAGCTCATTTCTTAACGACTGAGACACCTGACTTGATCCGCCACTATCTACTTCACTTTGTCCGTACATGACTGGCTTTTAATAGATTCGCATTAGTTCACCACTTAGGCATGGTAGAATGGAAGGTGTTTGATTCCCAATGTCATTGGAATAACCAAATCCAATGGGTTTCATGGATTATTAGGTAATTTATTTGTCAAGCTATTCTAGTTTTTGTTTGGAAGGCCGATAGAAAAGTAGAGATAAAGGGTACCGCTGCATACAAGAAGTGTTGAAAGTACCGTTCTAATGGCCGAAGCGGAAGCAAAAATTAAAAATCCAAAAATCAAGTATCATACATTAGTGCGTATTGTCAAGTTTTAGTAAATGAATTTGGAAAGGAAGGATCAACTCGTGTAGGCAATTTTGATAACTATTAGAATTGCCGAAGTCGGTTCCACGTTGCAAATCCCAAGCGAGATAGACGCTCGCGAATACTCTCATAAATGTGATACAAGGAGCAAATCGAGTTGAACTTTCTTGCGCACAACTCTTTATAGGACCGAGTCTTTTTTCGGAACTCATCAATTGGGATAGTGCTTGTTCTCTCTCTCTCTCAAGAGGAGCTCTCGCATCCCTCGATGTGTATGTAGAAGCCTCCACCCCTCCATTTATAGTGAGAGAAATGCTCTCTTCATTCATGTGGGAGTAAACTCCCCATGAATGGGTACCATTAGAATTCATGGTGCATGCTATTCATGGATGTGTAACCCTCTCATAAAAAAGTGCAACCACTCCCCCATCTCCCTCTCATAAAGTAACATAAGTCGTGAAGTGAATGTGGTCCACATGGTATACCCTTCTACTAGGGACACGCCCACATGTCTACAATAAGGTTTAGGTTTTAGGTGCATCCAGTCCAACCCCGGAAACATGTTGGAGATGGATTTGGGATCCGAAATTTTGCTATAAGCATAAAATAAAAAGCATTAAGGAAGGTGTGTTTTGTACTTCTTTTATCGCTATTTTAGTTATTTGAAGATTTCCAAATTCATGGATATGAGGCAATAGTGGTTTACAATGATTTGGTGTATGTTTCTAGACATAAATCCTTTGAAAAGCTGGGGTGAGTCATGAGTGGGCCGACCCCTCAAATATTTATCCATACAAGTACTGGCGATTGTGTTGGGTTCGATGAAGTGTTATCGACATGGTTGTTTTGTTTCATCCACTTATATTTGAAAGTGATAACTTTTGGGTGTGTCATTAAAGGCTCTATGACTGGTTGTAAATGAGTTATATAGTAGAACATGAATTCAGTGGTATTAAACAAAAGATGTTTGTTGATACTGGATTGTGTTTAGCATGCTAGGTCAATCTGGTTGGAGAAAATCCATGTTACCTGGGCATAGAGAAATAAACCGATAAAGGTTATATAGGTCATATCTTGATGAGATGAGTATGCCCGAAAGAGTGAGTTGAGGGAGTGTGTGGTGGAGGCCTTTAGAGACAAGGCCTAAAGCCTCATCATTTGTATCATCACACGGCAAGCACATCGATAGCCGTTTTCAGGAAAGTGAAACACCTTTCATGGTGAAGCGTGTGCATGTGCGAGAGATACCCATATGCACCATCGAGCAATGGATTGCATCAGGTCAGGATGACCTTGATTTCGTCTCCAAGGAGAACCTAAAATCCATAGACTGCGACTACAACCCCTTGCCCATTGGCTAGACTTTAATGACCCAGTAATGAGCCCCTGCATGGATTGTGAGTCGTGGGCAAGGCTGGATCGGTGTGAGAAAGCATGTATGGTCCATAATCTGCAGTTGGAGGTGGAGTGCCCTAGTGCATATTTATTCTTAGATCATATGGATCATTTTCCGATCAAAGTATTTAATTTTATTTATTTTAATAATATATGATTTTTAAAAACGTTATTTAAAATTTTCTACATCTCTGAATATTCTATTTATCAATTTTGGATTTATAAAAATAGAGATATTGATTTAAATATTCAAATATGGTTTTATGAATTTTTAAAATAAAATATTATTTAAAAAATACATTGGAGGCCCAATAGGATTTGTGGATCCATTATTGCAAATTAGGTGGGGCCCATTATATGTAACAATGGGTGGCACGCCCCACCTAAGATACTTTCTATTTTACGTGATCAAGCCCTAAGGCTTGAGGAATAAGAAAGTGTTGTTTTAGGAAGGGTTCAATCCTTGACGAAATTTTGAATGAAATTTTGGAATATATGAAAAGCCTTATGCATAAAAAATTTAAAAAAATATTGTTATATATTAATTTTTTATTTAAATTAATTGATGGGAAAATAGCTTAGGAAGTGAGGGATAATGGTTCTAGCACCTGTCATAGAATGTTGATGACCCATCTAGATAATGGACAGCTCACATCTCTCACCCTTCAAGGCACGCAAGATCAACTGTGCATATTCAATCTCACATGAGTGACAAGCCAAAAAAACCCGAAAATTTGTTCAAGCGCTATAAAAAGGGATTGCACCCTACCCAAATCTATACACATTAACTTTCTATCTCTCTCTCTCTTGTCCAACTAGTGGGGCACGCCCCACTCAAGGCATTCTCTCATATTTTGGAAACCTCCTCTCTCTCGTGAATGCTCAAGGGAGAGACGCAACTCTCATAACCTCTTGACTTTTCTCTCCCATCTCTCAACTTTGGATTTATGGCTAAAGGTTTTAGGGTGTAGAAAAAGAGAAATCATCTATTTCAAACTAGGTTATCAAAGGGGTTCACCTAGGGTTTGAGTTTTGTGATCAAAGAGGTTCATGTTCCATTGGTGTGGCTTGTCCAAAACTTAGATTGAAGGTTGACTATTAAATCTTGTGCTATCGGAAGGTGGTAACTTGGTGTGAGGTGTAAGAAGTCCGGTTGAGATAATCTCCGGCACTTTCTTTTGTTTATTGTTTATTTATTTATTGTTTTCTTTATTCCCAAGCATAGGTTGTGTTTTTTTTGTTATTAAAATAAAATTTTTGATGGCTTAAAGTTCTTGAGATCCTAGATATGTTATTTTCTTTATTTTTGTTTGAAGTTATTTTATTGTAAAATGATCAATAGTAAGTGATATAAGCCATGAAGAAAAGAAAAAATAAATAAGAAATATATATATATATATATATATATATATAATATANACTACTACGTCGTATAGTATTGACTACTTACTTTCTTTACTTTACTAATAACGTCGTAACCCTAAC